CTAACAGAGCTTCCAGTTGCCTCCCAGACGGCCCCAGACCCCCACCCTGGCCCAAGAGGCCCACGGGACGGCCCAAGAGGGCCCACGAGGATTCCGAAGACGGCCCTACGAGGCCCAGAAATCAAACAAACATTCTGTGCTTACGAATGATTCCCACACTCGCGCCACGCCCAGCCCAAAACGGCTCCATGCATTTTCGCGACCGCCCCGCGATGGCCCACGAGGCCCCGACGAGTGCACCAAGACGGCCCGAGAGAGCCCCAATTTGGCCCAAGACATGCCCCGACGGCCTAATGGAGTTTCAGGTGACCTCCCGAGACGCCCCAGGAGCTGTCCAAAAGGGCCCACACTGGGCTTCCACGCGGCCCCAGGCCCCCACCCCAGCCTCCAGACTGTACAAGAGGTTTCCAGGACGGTCTCAGGAGTTCCACGAGGACCCCGATGACGGTCCCACGAGGCCTCAAATCAAGCAATGACCCTATGTTCTCGAATGTTTCTGCACAGGCACCCAATGACAGGCCCGGAACGGCCCCACACGGCTTCAGGCATTTCTGTACGATCGCCCCGAGGTGGCCCGTGTGGCCCCGGCGGGCGCACCAGGACGGCCCAAGAGGGCGCCACGCCCCCCAAGACCAGCCCCAGACGGCTTGATCGAGCTTCCGGTGGCCCCCCGAGGCGCCCCAGAAAAGCTGCCCGAGGGGACCCCCAAACCGAGCGCCAGCACGGCCCCAGACCTCCACCCGGGGCCCGGCGACGGCCGTGCCGGCCCCCTTCTGGACGGCCCGAGGGCGCCCCGCTGTGGCGCAAGTTGGCCGCACCATGGCCCAAGGGTTAATCAGGAGGAAAAGAAACACACAGACACAATTAATCGTCGCCCCCTAGGAAAATATGCAAAAATATGGGAAGTGGGGGGGAAACAAAAACCAAAAACATATGGGAAAGTATGGAGAATCCTTTTATTTGTGTGTATTTATTTGTGTGTCCTGGGGCCCCTTCAGTTAAGTCGGCCCTGTCCTTCTACTGGGAGAATGCCAAAAAGTGCTGTAAACATAGTCCGGGGACGAGCTTTTTGGTAATTTGTGTAAATCGTCCGGGGACGAGTTTGGGTCATTTGTTGTTTGGCGTTGTTTGATGATTTCTTATGTTTCGCCCGGAGCCCGCCTGCAGGGGGACACGCCCGACCTAACCCAAGAGGGCGCACGGAATGGACCACGAGGGTACCGCAGCACGGCTCGAGCCCCCTCCCGCCGATCCGGGGCGACGAGGGGGGCCTCCTCCTACCTCCTCTGCCTCGGATTCCTCCTTCAGAGCCTGCACACCCTCCTCCTCCTCCTCCTCCTCCTCCTCCTCCTCCTCCTCCTCCTCCTCCTCCTCCTCCTCCTCCTCCTCCTCCTCCTTCTCCTGTGAGAGGATGCAGCGAGACTGGGCCACGGGCTTCTCGCAGCCGTCGATGCCACGAGAACCCTCCAGGGACTTCTCCGAGATAGCCCAGATTCGCCCTCAAGCTCTTCCCCTGCGGGTTCGGGACGACGATCTGCTCACCCACGGTGTGTGAGCCCGAGGTTTGGCACGCCGTGGATTTAATCCACGGATTCGCACAAGTCAGTTACAATGCTGGGATCAGCGCGTGCGAGAAAGGGGGGCAGTGGCAGCAAGCGCTGTCGCTACTCAGCGACATGCGGGATTCCAACGTGGAGACAGACGTCATCAGTTACAACGCTGGGATCAGCGCTTGCATGACAGACGGACTATGGCAGCAGGCTTGGTCAATGCTCCACGCGATGAGGGAAGTGAGGGTGGACCCAGACTTAATCACCTTCAACGCTGGAATCAGCGCTTGCATGATCGGCAGGAAGTGGCAAATTGCGATGTGGCTCTTCAGTGAGATTACGGTATCAATGGTGGATCCGGATACTGTCAGCTTCAACGCTGCAATCAGCACGTGCGAGAGAGCGGGACAATGGCAGCAAGCGTTGTCGCTGCTCAAGGAGATGCGCGAAACAAGAGCGGAAACGGACAACATTGGCTGCAGCAAAGGAATCAGCGCGTGTACCAGAGGGGGTCAATGGCAAATGGCGTTGTCGCTGTTCAGCGAGATGGAGGGAGCAAAAGTTGAGGCCGACGCCTTCAGCTTTAACGCTGCAATCAGTGCATGCCAGTATGGCCGGCGTTGGCAGCATGCGTGTTTCTTGCTCAGCGAAATGAGGAGAACGAGCATGGAGGCGGACGTCGTTTGCTACACTTACGCCATTGGGGCGCTCGGGGCTGGTGGTCAATGGCAGCAAGCTTTGTGTCTACATAGAGAAATGGTGCGGTCGAAGGTGGAGGCGAATTCAATGAGCTACAATGTTGCAATTTCCGCGAACCACGAAGCAGGACAGTGGCAGCAGGCTTTGCGGCTGCTTTCCGAAATGGGCGAGGGGAAGGTCGAATTGAGCGCCGTCTCCTACAACATTGCAGTGTGCACGTGCGGGAATTGCGGGCAGTGGCAGCAGGCGCTGCGGCTGCTCAGCGTAATGCAGGAATCGAATGAGCAGCCAGGCGCCGTTGGCTATCAAGCTGGAGCCAATGCATGTGCGAGGGAGTTGCAGTGGCTTCATGCGGTGCCATTGTTGCGTGAGTTGGATTTGGCGAAGTGGAGCAGAGTGTTGCGCCAACATGAGCGCACGCAGTGAAGCTGGAAGGTCAGACCGAGCGAAAGATGGGCAACAATACTGCAAGCAGTGCGCCATAGGGAGCACTGCATTCAAGACGATTCGCGTTCGCCGCTCGCCCATTCTGGCTCTCGCCAAACGAGCCAAATATTGCTCCACTACGGGATCAAAAAATCATGACGAAAGCAGTGACCGGCGATCCAGCAGGTGTATGTTGCACACCGTTCTACGATCCGTGCTCCTCCATTCCATCGCCGACTGGACTCAAGCATGCTATGTGGCTCATCGACTGTTAAATCATCGTCTGATCGACAGTGCGTCAGCAGCACTACCAGATCAGTGATAAGGAGACTTGCTCTCTGGATCCTTGTTACTTGCCCATGGCAGGAGGTCAAAGGTATCAATACGGTGGCCCGTTAATGTGCCTGAAGCGGCTCAACAATGGCCACGAGGAGCCAAGAAGAGCCGCAGATGGGCCTGAGGGGGCCCATGAGGGCTTCAGAAGCCCAAGCGCAAGCGTCTTCGTGTCGGGCCCGGTCCCTTGAGTTGTTCCAGTGGTTTACACCATTCCGCCGGAACCCAAGAAGTGGGGAGGCTACGGTTGCTAGGCTGAGTAGGAGTCTCAGCGATATTCCCAACCTTCTCTTGGATGTTCAGCCCCTCCCTGCTTCCACTTCTTTCAGTTCTCGCTGACTGCCCTCTTCGCCGCTCTCCTATGGTACCGCCCATCGTGAGCTTGGAAGGAGAACGCGTGACGCTTCATGTATCCCCACCAGCCCGTCCCGAAACGATCCCCCAGCAAGTTCCCGTGAACAGGAAAGTGTATGAGCGCGCAGTGGAACAGAAATAGGGGCAGCCGTCAACTCGAATCTCGGGATGAATTTGAGGAGACCAAGGAGTCCACAAAAAAGACCTGCGCAGGTGCAGGAGTCAACCATGAAGACCTTCGGGGATCCGTTGTCCTTCGACCAATCCCGCCACAGTGCCTTTTGGACGCCCGTGGGGATCCCTTGGGAGGCCTCTCGGAAGCCTTTCGGAGACGGTATCGGGGATGCCTTGGGGGCTCTCGGGGGCCTTTTCCTGTGGCCCGATTTGAGCTTCCTGGGAGCCTCGTGTGGATTCGGGCGGCCCCCTGAGGGGCCTGCTGGTGGTCTCGGGGGTCGGCTTGGGCTGGGGGGCTCGAGACGTTGATCCGTGTGCCACCACTCGGGGCCCATTTGGACCGTCTTGTAGGCCACCTGAGCCGCCCTGGAGCCTGCTTGGTCTGTCTGGGGTCCCTCCTGAGGGCATGTTGGGCCGTCTTGGGGCGATCTTCGGGGCTCCTTGGGCCGCCCTGGAGCGTCGGAAACCCGAAAAGGCAAGAGAACGCGAGCATCGCTTCACCATGCGTGGAATGCCGTCGAGTTTGGCCTTCGGGGCCCTCTAGGTGGGGCTATTGGGGCTCTCTTGGGGCATCGTGGGGGTCTTCTTGTGCCGTCTGGAGGCCACCTTGGGAGCCTCGGAGCGCCCTGGACCGTCTGGGGGGTGCTATTCGGGCCCTCCTGGCCAGCCTCGGGGCCCCTTGTGGCTGCGAGCATCGCACGCGGCACGCCCCGGAAGCGCCCAGGCGCGCCCGGAGTGCGGGGCCGCGGGCCCCTCGAAGGACTCCCCGGGGGGGCCGAGGGCGGCAGGCGCGAGGGGCCCGGGCCTTTCCAACTCGTGCCCTGTGCTGCTCCCGTCGTGCTTCAGGACCACATCCCAGCACGAACCTCGAGCACCCAGACGAGTATCGAAACAGGGTCGGGCGAGAGGCGCCTCCCAGGGCCCGACGCGTGGAAGCCCTCCAGTTTCGGTATAATCCTGGTGCTCGAAACTCTTTTGGGTGATCAAGGCTGAGGTAGGTCGGAACATCGTAACTCGTGCTTCGGGTGTCATGGTGGCGGACATCCATGGATAACAAATGTGGGTCGGTTTTTCCATGCTCTTCTGTCTGGTGACCTCAACGTGGCTGGTACACGATGTCCCACGATCGGTCGCGCATCGGCCGAGAGAATCTGGAGTATGGCTCTTGGCTCCACGGTTCTGTGCCCAGCGTCTGGGGCATATTGGCCCACAGTGCCGAGAGGGTAGGACCGCTATTGTTTCCTCCCTGAGCTCCATCCCCCTCGTCGACCGCTCTGGTGTCCTACTCGCGCTCGTCCTGTTTCTCGTCCTCCTGAACTACCGCTCGATTCCCACACACAGTACCCATCCCAATTTCACTTCTTAGGAATCGGCAACGTAGTAGGGCCCCTGACTCGTGGCGTGAGTTGCATTGCGTCTGGCAGTCAAGCCTTCGGCCGAAGGATGCCACACTCAAGCCTTCCTGGATGGTTGAGCATTCATAGCGCGAGGCATCGTCGACATACGTGTGAGCGGCACTGCCGCTATTCGACAAAGTCCGCATCGACAGCATCAGGCTCCGAGTCGACCGTCTATACGTTCGTGGACTCACTTTTTCCTGACCTGCCCTCACAGTGCTCCTACGATCGCCCCCCCCACATCTCCATCCGCGTGCAGCCTGCAGCCGTCTAGGACTACGCTTGGCATGACCGCGCCGCTTGCCCTCCGTCACTGCGTGGCGGTAGCCTTGCGGACGATTTTGCCGGTGGGATCATGAGGACAAGCTCATTGATGTTGCTGTTGGCCCGGGCAGCAGTGGCAGTTAAGGCCCACACCGGACAGACGGCCCCAGCGGTGTGTGCCCGCCGCACAGGCGGCGCCGACTGGCGGGACGTGCAGCCGACTTGTGGCGAGGCGCAGTTTACCGAGTGCAGCTCCGCGCAGATTCTCGCGGCCGGCGTCCAGTGCCCAAGACGTTGTCCTTTCCTCGTGGTGCCGGAGGCTGTGGCCTGCGCCTACTACTGCGTCGCCGCAGAAGCGTGCACGACCGTCAACCCTGCGCTCCGCTTCCCCAACAACCGCACCGGCAAGTGCGAGGCCTGCGGCGTCACGGGCTGCAGCCGCTGCGCCAGCAGCACGGCTTGCGCGGAGTGTTACAGCGCCTTCCAGTGGGACGAGATTGGCGAAGGCTGCGTGTACACCATGGACCTTTGGATCAAGGGACCCGTCGTCGTGCTGTGTTTGCTTGTGCTTCTGCTGGCGGTCGTGGTGCCAGTTTGCTTGTGGCGCGGTCGCAAGAACAGGCAGCGGCATTTCTCGATCAAGGATCCAGATCAGAAGGGTGCAGATCGGACGTCGGACAGAAGGATCCAGATCAGAGGTGTGCAGATCGGACGTCGTGGAAGGAGGTCCCAGTTCCACACGACGATCTTGCAGTTGGCCAGGAAGCATCATCATTGGTGCAAGGTTCGAGATTGGTACCATCAGCATGGAGCACATAGTGATCGTTTGGCTTCGTGTGCGGGATCTGGAACCGATCTGATGTTGGAGCCTTGGCCACGACACGTCAGTTTTCTCAGAAATCTCCACAACACCTACCTTCTGGGCTTGGGCATGCCTTTGTATTACAACTTTCTTGTGTTTATGGCATCATTGTTTATCTTGCTTCTGGTACTGCACACCTTCATGTCGTGGCTTTGGCTGGACAGCCCCGTGTTTTCAAGGCTGGACTCATGGCGCAGCAATGAGGCAGAGCTTGAATCGTGCAGCGCGATTAACACGACCCTCGTCGGAGAGTACAGAAACACGTTGGGGCACTTGTACATAGTGGAGCTCACTGTGCTGTACGTAATTGGCCTATGCGCCGTCGTGGCGTTTGCGCTCTTCCAAAAGAGCCGGATCCAGAAGTTTACCGCCAGCAGCTCGACCATGCGCAGGTACGCGCTTATGGTTCGCGGCTATCCAGAGGATGCGACCGACGAAGTTGCAGTAAAGAACAATCTGGAGAAGGATTTGTCTATAAAGCTTGGGAGACCCGTGTCGTTGGCGTACGTTTCCATCTGCTACGATGTCAATTCCAACCCCGGCTTCGCCGGCAAGCTGAACAGGTTGTTGGACCGGCTCATCGCAATCGAGGACGTGAGGCGCAACAATTATAGCCACGAGTATGCAGACACCGCAGAGGATGCGAAGCAGGTGGCGCGCGAGGCGGAGGAGGAATAGGAAGGGGAGGGCGAGGAGGAAGAGGAGGAGGAGGCGGAGGAGAAGAAGGGATAGTGGGCTTTCAAGGGTGGCCTGCAGGAGGGATCTGGGTTGCTTGGAATTGCCCGAGCGGGCCACGCACATGGCTTCAGCGTCATCCAAAGGCTGGCCGTCAGGTGGGTTCGAAGTCCTGGACTCAACCTCTCTGAGGCCTCTGGGTTGCATCACCGAAAAAGAAGCATCTTCTTTCGTTTCGGGCTGCTTGTTCCCACGGCGTTTAACTTCTATCCAACTTCGGCGATACACTCTTCCGTGCCAGCTGCCTGTGGGATGCTCACGTACGCACGAAGTCGGTTACACGTTGGCAGCCCGCACAGCTTCTGGTGAGCCAAGATGCGAGTGGTGCAAACCGCACATCAAGCATTGCACCTCATACTGACCCTTCTTGGTCGGGCTCGCACAGGCATTGGCGGGTCGTCTGCCGTCCACGGCCACCGTGAGACCACAATGAGAGCGGCAATTGAAACCACAATGGGACCATTCGTGGAGACAGTGCCTCCCATACAAGACAGCATATTCCGCTCCGAACTCGCCTCCGCAAGAAGGGCACGGACGGTGTTGTTACCCAGGTTATGCAGCCGTGTCGGTTTGTCGTTCCGCAGAGGATGACCGCTCTCGAACCGACGTAGTCCTAGTATTGTGGAAGCGTGAGGGCATCGCGTCTTCAATACGAAAGTTGATTGCATGGTCTATTTTCCAATAGCCGTCGCGAGATCGTGGCCGGTGGGCTTCACGTTGCCATTGGACTGGCGCTCGAGAGATGGCCCAAGGATTGGCTCAGCAGCGGCATGAGTTGTTCAGGTGAGATGGCCTGGTAATGCGTCGCAGACCTATTGTGACAGATAATAAGGTTACATTTGGACGAGGCCGTTGCGGCGTTGTAAGCCACGGTATGTGATTCGCACATCTTGTTTCCTTATCATATGCTCGCATATGTTGGCAAGACAGAGCGCCCAAACAGGTGAAATTTGTCTTATTCGGCTGGCCGTGAATGGTCTCCAAAATCGTGTTCATCACCGCAACCGAGGTCCTGGATGAGGAGGGTAAGGAATAGGACAAGGGAGAAGGAGGAGGAGGAGGAGGAGGAGGATATTGGCGAGGACGACGTCGAGAATAGGACGACTAGGAGGAGGGTGAGGAAGAGGACGACGAGGAGGGTAATAACGAGCGCGATAAGAGGGGGCAGAAGGAGTAACGGCAGGTGGCGCGAGAGGCGGGAGTCCAGTTCGATCTGCCTGCAGCCCAGCTCACAAGAACCGCGTGGTTGAGCGCCGCGTCTACCATCTTCAGGAAAGGAGATTGCTCCCTCCCATGCCCCATCCCCGTGCTGCTCTGCATCATCCTTTGGGTGCCCCTTTTCATCGCTACCCCACGCCTCGTCATGACTGCTCAGCCAACTCGGCTGAAGACCGCAGCCACAGCCTCTGGCTCCCAAGCCGAAGGCCTTGCGCGGCAGAGGGAGCACACGGCCCCGCAGCGCGTCGATCGTGTTCGACGATGAAGGCTCTCGTGCGCCGCCCCCGCTCCATGTTGGCCCCTAGTCCGGGCCGACGTGGCCCGTTGTGCGTGCCTGGCGTTTGGGCCCGGGCTGCCATGCCCAACCCAGGGCTGGAACTCCGGCCCCTGGACCCCGCAGAGCTCCAGCGGGGAGGCACCCTCGCGGGTGAGCCACACGAATGGGGTCCCAGGATCGCGCCGCAACGCCGATGCATCGGCGACGCGGCTCGATATGATCGCCGATGCATCGACGATGCATCGGCGCGACCCTCCAGCCCCATCTGCTTGGACCTCATCTGTCGAGCCAGGGACAGACTACAGAATTGATGCACCCCAAACTTGAGTGGTCCGTTGAATCTACGGAACATGCGTCGGATGCCCCGTAGATCCAGAGCGCATCCGATGTGTGCTCCGCAGCTTCGGCGGGAACAGCGATTTTGGGGCAGACCAGTCCTGCAGTCGATCCGCTGCTCGAATCTCAGCGAGCGAAGAACGGTATAAAATAAACTTTTTCGTCGTCGGGGACACCTGCCCCTGGGCGGCTGGAAAGCTTATACCCCTACGGTGCCACCGTAAGGGTATAAACGTTCCAGCCGCCTTGGGGCAGGTGTCCCCGACGGCGAAAAAGTTTATGTTATACCGTTCTTCGCCCATTAAGAGTCTGAGAGGCCTCCAGCTCTGAGCTCTCCCGCCTCCTGCGCCGCCGCCTCCCCTCGGGGGCGCGGCCGAGCCTAGAACGGCGCGCCCATACCCGGGCTGGCCCGCCCGTCGTTTTACGAGAAGGGCCTCGCGCGCGGGGGCCCTCGCTTGCTGGCGCTGCCCGTGCCCAGGTCTCCAGCGGTGTGACGTCTTCTGTCGGCGGGCTCGTCCTTCGAGTCGGGCATGTCCCTCTACAGTCGGGGGCGGAAAAGAGGGGCGTGATGACTAGGGGGGGGTGGATATCATGGCGTGGGCCATGATATTTCCCCAGATTTCATGGCGCCTCTGCTCATTTCATTACGTCCCTGGCCCCCCCGCTGGGCCGCGCACATGCCGCTGGTCATGATTTGCACCCCCCCCCCTCTTGGACACCCCCCTCTTGGCCGCTCCCGATACAGAAGGAATATTCGAGAATTCTGAAAACATGGTCTGGCGACGATTGTTCCTGCCCTTTGACTACTTTTGGACACTGCTGGACTATTTCGGGTTTTTCCTCCAGAGTCCGCTTGTAGGAGGCCGTGCCCGACCTAATCCTTCCTTGATTTCGGTCTTCGGGGCCGTTATCGGGCACCGGCACCATCAGAAACGCATGCAGGGCGGAAAAGTTGCCCCCAGGGAAGCCGCCGGGGCCTCTGTGGCCGCGGATTGAGACAAGTCGTGCCGGCGGATGTCAAGATGTCCGCCCGTGCCCGCTGTCCGACCCTTGCCCGCCGGTTCTTCAGCGAGCGAAGAACGGTATAAAATAAACGTTTTCGCTGTCGGGGGCGCCTGTCCCTGGGCGGCTGGAAAGTTTATACCCCTACGGTGCCACCGTAAGGGTATAAACTTTCCAGCCGCCCAGGGACAGGCGCCCCCGACAGCGAAAAAGTTTATTTTATACCGTTTTTCGCCCGTTAAGTTCCGGGGGGACTCGCGCGCTGGCGCGCCCGCCTCTCGCTCTGACGCCGAACCCCCCCCCCTCCGCTGAGCTGGCCTTTGCCCCTGCAGGAGCGGGCACGGCCCCGAGCAGCCAGCGCAACGGTACGCTCGCACTGGGGGAGTACAGTGAGCGGCTTGAATAAGGAACACTTCCTTTTCAAAAGGGGCTCGGTCGTTCCTTGGGTTTGCATGCGTTCTGCTACCTTTTTGGCGGCGAGCCCCCCTGGTGTTCCTTCCGACTTCGTAGACTCACTTGGAACGACAAGGGGCTTCGTTCCTTATTTATCGTTCCTTAGGTCAGGCCGATGACTGTAAGCTGGGGCATCCCTGCTTATTCATTCTCGCGTTCTCTCGCTCCCTCCCCGTTTTCCTCGAGTTGGGGGCCCAGGAGGGGAGAGGAGCAGCAGGGGATCTTTTGGAGTGACGGGCACGGCGACAGTGTCGGTCACTGCGTGTGAAGCAGCGCGAGCGCCCTGCCGCTTCCCGCTGGCCAGCTCGGCTGCACTGCGAACGTTAAGGCCAGAGGCCCTGGAAAGTCTCGATCTGCGGCCGGGCCCGTGGAGAAGGAACCATGTTCGTTGGGGAAGGGCTCCGTGTTCCTTAGCCGTTTTACAGCTCGTCTGAGGTTTTCCTTAGGCCCTCGATGGGGAATCAAAGTTAACGTATAGAAAAAAAGGACTTCGTTCCTTATTTTGTTGGTTCCTTGTGGTAGTGCTTCGTTCGACTGCACGCAATCTCTTCGACTACTGGACACGACTCGACTCTGGGTGCACGAAACTATTTGGGGGGGATGCGGCCCTTAAGTGCGATGGTAGCAACAGAACGCCCGCCCATCTTCAGGAGGGAGGTGGAGGAGCTCCTGGGCGAGGGCGGCTCGAAGATGCGAAACGCCGGGCAGGCATTCGCCGTCTTTGACCGCGCCGAGGACGCGAGGAAGGTCGTGGTCGACTGCGACGGCGACGACTTCATTTCGACGAGCGATAGCTTCCTTGCGCCGTCCCTCCGCGGCACGCCTCTGGACGACGTCGACGTCATCTCGACGTGGACGGCGGCAGCTCCCCCAGCAAAGCCCCAGGCTCCTCCTCTGCCTCCTTGGCTTGCACCCCCCTCCCCATTCACGTTCCCCCTTCAGAGGGTTCTGTAGCTCTCCCTCCTCTGGCCCTCCTCTCTCCCTCTGTTTTTGTTTGTTTTTTTCTCTCTCTCTCTCTCTCTCCCTCTCTCTCTTTGTGTGTGTTTCTCTCTCCCTCTCTCGCTCTCTTCTCTTTGGATATACAGTATACATGTATACATATGTCGCCGCACCGTTTGTCTCTCTCTCTCTCTCTCTGTTTCTCTCTCTCTCTCTCTCTCTCTCTCTCTCTCTTCTCTTTAGACATACACGTATACCTATGTCGCCGCACCGTTTGCCCCAACCCGCGGCCCAACGCCTTGGGGAGGGCGCCCCCTCGGCCGGCAGGGGGCACACTCCGCCTCGGACACGCAAGAGCTTGCCGTGGGTCTGCCGCGATGCCGTGGCGTCCTCTGCCCGGGCGCCGGGCGCAGGGCTCGCCGCGGGTCTGCCGTGGTGTGGGCGTCGTCCACTTGGGCACGTCGAGAACAAACGGCGCTGCGACGGACATGTGTGCACATATGTGTACATATACATATATATACTTATATAGAATATATAATCATATTTATATGTGTATATATATGTGTATATGTGTGTGTGTCCCTCTCCAGATCCCCCCCGCTACCACCCCCCTGATATCCGTATACGGGGCGGCCTGCCCTCGTGCGGTCACGATCTCTTTCCCCCTCCCCGAGAGAAAAGATGGCAGCACGTGCGTTGTTCCCTTCGCTATCAGTGCGCGGCGCTTGCGGCTCGCTACCTCGTTTGCGTGACCCTGGTGGCCAGTGGCAGGATTCGAATGGGGGCTGCGATTGGGTTGCCTGGAAGATTCACCCGTCTCTCCTCTCCATCCCCTGGTCCCTCCCCCCCCTTTTTCCCAGTTCCATGGAGGTGCCCGCGCCGGTCGCACCTCTTGGCCAAGGGAGCTTGGGCCAGCAGCTCCTGGCCTCGGACACGGCCCTCAAGAATAATCTCCTGATTACGCCCCTGATCAACGAGCCAGTGAGCACGGGCTGCCAAGGAGATGGGAAGAGCGATGGTGCGGGAGCGGGGGGTGCGGAGGGGGGGAAGGGAAAGGGAGGGAAGGAAGTGGAAGGCGGGGAAGAGGAGGGACAAGGAAGGGAGGGAGTGAGAGAGAAGCGGCAGGCGGAGACTGGTGGGGACGGGGAGGAGAAGGGTCAGAGCAAACCCAGGACGCGTCAACGACGCTGTAGTACATCCTTCCGCCCCATGTCCCCTCTTCAAAGGTCCCTGCGGGCGTTCCTAATCACCTCGAGGATCTCTCACCCTTGAGAGGAGGGCGCCCCATTGACCCGCCAGTGAGGAGATAGCCCAGCTCGGAGACGCACCCTTCTAGCTACCGGACACGCGAAGAGTCAGGATCCGCAAGGCAATCGATCGAAATGTTTTAGGAAAGCCTTATATTGACAAGAATCCGCCCTCAAACAGTAAAATCTGCTGCACCGCTTCGTACGTATGCCTAGCTATAGGACGCGCGAAGAGTTAGGATCAAATGCCAACCGAAATGTCCTAGGAAAGCCTTATCTTGAAAAGTTACCGCCCTCCAGCAGTAAACCTGCTGCACGCATCATCACTTCACACGTATGCATACTGATCGGGGGCGAGGAGCGAGATCGAAGAGGAGCGGAGCGCCCCCCCCACCGGGAAGTCGGTTTCGAGCTCGGGCTCGCGTCGCGCGTGCGGGGGAGGCGAAGCTGCGCGTGGGCGGGAAAGGGTGCGGCTGCTGGGCGTGGCGAGGACGGGAGTCCGCCCCGCCCCCCACCCTCCCCTCGGCCGAGTGGCGGGCGGCGGGTGCCGGGTATGTCCCGCCGTGGTGTCCCGATGGTGTCCCGATGGTGTCCCGCGGTGTCCCGCGGTGTTGCGATGGTGTCCCGCGGTGTCCCGCGGTGTCCCGTGGTGTACCCGCGTTGTCCCGTGGTGTCCCGTGATGATGTTCCGTGGTGTCCCGTAGTGTCCCGCGGTGTCCCGCCGTGGTGTCCCGTAAGATCGATAGTGAATCGGTAGTGAGGTAAATCTTGGGATCGGCAGTGAGATCGATAGTGAGGTCAATAGTGAGATCGATAGTGGGATCGACATTGAGATCGATAGTGATGTCAATAGCGGGATCGATAGTGAGATCGATTGTGAGATCGATAGTGGGATACATAGTGAGATCGGTATGTAGAGGGATAGTGCGATCGATGGTAAGATCGATAGTGAGATTGTTTATGCGATCGATAGTGCGATCGATTGTGAGTTTGTATCCTCTCACCTGAACCTTCTTATCATCCGAAGGGCGGTCGTCGGAGGTGAGGGGGTGAGATCGAAGTGGAACGGAGAGCCCACCTACCGGGAAATCGATTTCGGTTTCGTGTTCGTGCGTGACGTGCGCGCGGGCGAGGCGAAGCTGCGTGGGCGGGCGAGAGGAAAGTCTCCTGTGGCTGAGGCGCGGCCGGACCAAATAATTCTCCGCCGGGCGGCCGGTGGCGCGCGGTGTCCCGCCGGTGTCCCGCTGGTGTCCCGTCGGTGTCCCTGTGGCTGAGGCGCGGCCAGACCAAATGTGTCTCTTCCGGGCGGCCGGTGGCGCGCGGTGTCCCGCCGGTGTCCCGCTGGTGTCCCGTCGCGGCCGAACCAAATGTGTCTCTTCCGGGCGGCCGGCGGCGCGCGGTGTCCCGCCGGTGTCCCGCTGGTGTCCCGTCGGTGTCCCGTCGGTGTCCCGATGATGATGTGGATGATTATGATGATGATGGTGATGATGATGATGGTGATGATGGCGATGATGATGATGATGATGTTGGCGTTGTTGTTGATGATGATGATGATGATGACGTCGATTGTGAGATCGATTGTGACATCGATAGTGAGACCGAATGTGAGATCGATTGTAAGATCGATAGTGAGATCGATTGTGAGATCGATAGTGAGACCGAATGTGAAACCGAATGTGAGATCGATAGTGAGATCGATTGTGAGATCGATAGTGAGATCGATAGTGAGCCCGAATGTGAGACCGAATGTGAGATCGACTGTGAGATCGATTGTGAGATCGATAGTGAGATCGACAGTGAGACCGAATGTGAGACCGAATGTGAGATCGATTGTGAGATCGATTGTGAGATCGATAGTGGGATCGATAGCGATATTGATAGTGATATCGATAGTGAGATCGAATGTGAGATCGATTGTGAGATCGATAAAGAGATCGATTGGGTGAGACGTTGGTTCCCCCTCCCCCCTCACCTCCTTATCACCCGCAGGGTGGTCGTATAGGTATAGCTATATGGTGGAGTTTAGAGGGTGATATCGAAGTGGAGCGGAGAGCCCACCACCAGGAAATCAGTTTTGGTATCGGGTTCGTGTCGTGCGTGCGGGTGAGGCGAAGCTGCTGGGCGGGCGGGAGGAATGAACCCTCTGGCGAGGGCGCGGCGAGGGCATAGGTCCGCCCCGCCCCGCCGCGTGACGGGCTGGTGCAGTCCCGCCGTGGTGTCCCGGTGGTGTCCCGTGGTATCCCGTGGTGTCCCGCGACGTCTCGACTGGTGTCCCGATGGTGTTCCGCGGTGTCCCGTCGTGGTGTCCCGATGGTGTCCCGTCGTGGTGTCCCGTGGTGTCCCGTTGTGCCTCGCGGTGTCCGGCGGCGGCGCGCGGTGTCCCGCGGCGGTGTCCCGCGGTGTTGTGTGAGGTCAATGTTGAGGTCCATCGTGAGATGAATAGTGATATCGATCGTCGGTCGATAGTGAGGCGAATAGTGAAATCGATACTGCTGAGGTCGATCGTGAGATCGATATTGAGATCGGCAGTGAGATCGATAGTCGTATCGACAGTGCGACCGATAGTGAGATCGATAGTGAGATCCACAGGGAGGTCTGGGCGGCTGTGGGCGCCTCGTGTGCGCACCGTGCGGTTGGCCGTGGGCGCCACGTGGGCGCCCTGTGCGCTGGGTGGATGTGCCGGTGTGTCGGCTGGTGCCCGGTGGGTTGCCGGCCGCGGGTGCCTCGTAGGAGCATCGAGCGTTGGGAGGGAACGTCGGGACGTTGCTTGGGGCCCAGTCGGCGGCATGTCGTGGGGGCGTCGTGAGCGCACCGTGCATTGGGGGGGCGTGGCGGGGTTTCGCCTGGTGCCCAGTTGGTGGCCAGTCGTGGGCAGCTCCTGGGGGCGCCGTGCGCTTGCTGGGTCAGAGGAGGTTTCGCCTAGTGGACCCCCCTGGACGCCCACATGGGGTCCGCTGTAGATTGCTCCACGTAGCCTGCCCCACCCACAGGAGCTTGCACCACGCAGCGTGCACCACATTGATTCTCCTCTCTGAAAGGAAATTATATTCTACCCCCACCACCACCCCGGGAGTACCACTCCCCCTGGAGTATTGCAATTTACATATGGTTATGCCTCCTTGTTCATGTTCCATGTGAGTTCATACCATCCCAGCTAGTCCCGGTATCGGGTCACCCTCTCATCCCTGTCAAGTAATACCATGCGGTGCACATGCGTTGATCTAAGATGAGCTGAATGTACGAACCTTTTTGAAATAATACCGTGCGGGCCACATGCGAGCGCGCAAGACGAAATCTGTCCAAACCCTTGTTTCGTGATCTCTGCCCAAAAACATCAAAAACCAAATGGTTTCGCATCACAGCGTTTTCAATCTTTCATCCCGCGCGCTCTTGCGGCTTCCTAGAAAACCCAATGTTTGATTCCCTACCTAGGCTCTGCCTAGAAGGGTTCTTACTTTAAGCTTAAAGGGCCGGGCAGTGTTCCTCGCCCCGGGCGGTTCCCCCGGCATCCGGGCCGCCCCGCGGTTCCCCCAGGATCCGCCCCGCGGTTCCCCCAGTTACGTCCCCCGGGTTCACCCAGTTTAGTTTAGCTAAGCTCAGCTTAGTTTAGCTTAGCTTATCTCATCTTAGCTTAGCTTAGCTTAGCTGTGCTTTGCTTAGCTTAGCTTAGTTTAGCTTAGCTTAGCTTATCGCATCTTAGCCTAGGTTAGCTGAGCTTAGCTTGGCTTAGCTTAGCTTAACATAGCCTAGCTTAGCTTAGCTTAGCATAGCTTAGCGCAGCGCAGCATAGCGCAGCGCAGCATTAGCACAGCATAGCATAGCATAGCATAGCATAGCTCAGCATAGCATAGCATAGCATAGCATAGCGCAGCATAGCATAGCATAGCATAACATAGCATAGCAGTGCTTGGCATAGCGCAACGCAGCATTGCATAGCATAGCACAGCACAGCACAGCACAGCATAGCATAGCATAGCATAGCATAGCATAGTGCAGCATAACATATCATATCATAGCCTAGCATATCATAGCAAAGCGCAGCAGATCATAGCATAGCATAGCGCAGCATAACATAGCATAGCATAGCATAGCGCAGCATAGCATAGCATAGCATAGCCTAGCATAACACAGCGCAGCCGAGCGTACCCTAGCATATCATAGCATAGCATAGCGCAGCATAGCGCAGCATAGCAACGCATAGCAAAGCATAGCAAAGCCAATCATAGCATAGCATAGCATAGCATAGCGCAGAGTAGACGGCATGTAGATGCAGGTGTAGATGTAATTGTAGCTGTCGGTGTAGGTGTAGATGTTGCTTTCCTAAATGCTCGAACTCCTAGGTAGGGTCGCACTGGGATAATTTAGTTTTCCTGTCCAAGGAGGCTTTCGCGCGCCCACATCGAACTTATTTCAATGCCCTCGCGCGCTTGCCAGAGGCACGACCCCTGTCAAATAATACCATGCGGGGCACCGTCATCGCCATCATTGCCGCAGGAAGCGTCGTGATCCGTCTCACCGTCGTTTGTCGACGCCGTCGTCCGCGCCGTCCCCCGCAAGATGGACTGTGACCGCGCGACGAGCGTCCGCGCGCTAATGAACACGATGAAATTATCGGGGGAGCTCCACGCTGCAACTGCGCTCGCGACCTTGTGAGTTCTGCCAACCACCCCATCGCTGTTTGTCGACGCTGTTGTTCGCGCTGTCTCCCACAAGATGGATTTTGCCCGCGCCACGAGGGCCCGCGTGCCAGCGAGTTCGATGACATTTGCGGGCGAGTTCCACGCTACAATTGCAGTCGCGACCTTATGAGTTCTGCCGACGAAGATGCGGGTGGGAGGGTGGGATGTTTGCACGAGCATGGGAGGTGGTCACGCGCGGTGACGGGTAGTCAATTACCCCACATATGTTCTCCTTCCTAAAAAGGAAACAGGTTCTACCACCCTCCCCCCAGATGTTAAAGATCCACCGGGAACCGATGCAAAACACTTAGGATTCTGACCCAATGCGCCTCCTACCTGTGAGTTCATATTTCCCAGCCGAACTGGTACCGCCCCCCCCCCCCCCGCCACCCTCTGCAAAACATGCAATGCGCGCACATTCGTTGATTAAAAATCATACGTGTTCAAAAACCCCTTGCAAAACAAATCAGACGAAATGCACACGCGCGCGTCGTCGCGCGTGCATGCCGAAATCCTTGAAAACCTTTTTCTGTTTCGGAATGGTTTCAAAATAGAGTTTCCAAAACACATACAAAAACAACTGGTTTCGCAACACTGGTTTTTTATATAACAAAAAACTTACGCGCCCGCTCTTGCGAAATCTGAAGAAAACCATAGGTGCTTCAACGTTTTCAAACTATACTACCAAACGGGCTTCGCGCGCGCGCATGTCGAAATCGCTCGAACGCCCCTGCGCGCGTGCCGTCGCGAGAATCCTTTGCAAAAAACGGGACGAAATGCACGCGCGCGCGTCGTCGCGAGAGCCTGCCGAAATCTTTCAAACCGTAGGTTCCGGAAGGATTTCAAAATCGAGTTTCTAAAAGACATCCAAAAACACATGGTTTCGTAATACGTATGTTCAAGAAAAACGTGCGCACGCGTTCTTGCGTCGTCGTCGTCGTCGCCGTCCCTCCGTCGTCGTCGTCGCAGTCGTCGTCCTCTGTCTTTCCTCGTCGTCGTCGTCCTTTTTGGCGTCGTCGTCGTTTCCGTCGTCGTTGTCGCCGTGGTCGTCCTTCTTCCTCCCTCGTCGTCGTCATCGTCCGTCGTCGGCGTCTCGTCGTCGTCCCTCCTATTTCGTCGCCGTCGTCGTCGTCGTCGTCGTCGTCTTCCCTCCTCCCTCGTCGTTGCCGTCGTCGGCGTCGCAGTCCTCCCTCCTCCCTCGTCGTTGTCGTCTTCGTTGGCGACGTCGTCGTCCTCCCTCCTCCCTCGTCGTAGTCGTCTTCGTTGTCGTCGTCGTCGTCGGCGTCGTCGTCTTCGTCGTCGTCGTCGGCGGCGTTGTCATCGTCGTCGTCGTCGTCGGTGTCGTCGTCGTCGTCGGTGTCGTTGCCGTCGTCGTCGTCGTCGTAGTCGTTGTCGGTGGCGTCTTCGTCGTCGTTGTCGCTGCCGTCGTTGGCGTCGGTGTCGTTGCCAAGTGCCATGTGGTACCTACCGTCACGGTCTTAAGAGGTCTTGCGACCAAGTTGCGGGTGGGAGGGTGGGGTGTGTGCACGAGCAGCGGAGAGGACAGCTTCAAGTTGAGCAAGTGATTGATTGCATCACATAGATTGCACCACGTAGCTTGCACCGCATAGGTTGCACCACGTTGCTTGCACCACATGTTGTGCACTGCATTGCTGCGCTACGTAGTTTGCACAACACAGACTGCACCACCTAGCTTGCATTACATAGCATGCACTGTACATATTGCATCACGTACCTTGCATCATATCACATATTTTGCACCACGCAGTTCGCCCCATCTACAGAAGCTTGCACCAGACAGCTTGCACAACATAGTTTACACCACATCGTTTGCTTGATAGCTTGCATTACACAGTTTGCACCTCATTGTTGCGCTACGTAGTTTGCACAGCACAGAGTGTACGACATAGCTTAGAACACATAACATAATAGATTGTACAACGTAGCTTGTATCACGTGGATTGCACCACATAGCTTGCACCACATTGGCTGCATTGCATAGCTTGCACGACTTAGATTGCACCACGTAGCTCTCAACACATAGATTGCACCGAAGCTGTCGCACCACACAGTCTTCCCATACGGAGTGTTATAATGCACACTACGGGGCCCACGCTGGAATGCACAACGCCGAGAAAAGAAGGCATTGGACAGCGTTGTTGTTCCTCGGCACTGCGCATTCCAGCATGCGCGATGTGTTTTCGGCCGCGTATGTCGGGGCCCCGACGCTGCACCGAGAGGCGGCATGCCGTGCGTTGATGATCGGCTGCCCGCGTCATCCCTCCCCCCTCCCCACTGGCGGCAACCGACAGGGCACCAGGCGGAACCCCGCCACGCCCACCCCGCCACACCCACCCCAGCGCACGGGGCGCCCACGAGGCGCCCACGGGCGGCTGCCGACGGGGCACCCGGCGAAGCCCTTGCATGCCCACCCGCGGCGCACGGCGCGCCCACGAGGCGCCCACGGGCGGCAGCCGACAGAAGGAAGCCACGCCACACCCACCGAGCGATCGGGGCGCCCCCGGGCGGCAGCCGACCGGGCACCAGGCGAAACCCCGGCCATGCCCGCCCGATTCATGTATCTGGACGCCCGAAATGGGCACGGAAAGAGTGGGTACGATGCCCAACAGCAGTTCTTGGTCATTCTGAACAGGACTCGCTGTCCGCGCCGCCGCGGCCTGTGTCCATTCGAGACAGGAGGCCGCCCGCCCAACAGCGGCCGCTGTTGGTTTGGAACAACATTTATTGTTGGGCATTGTACCCATTCTTTCCGTACCCATTTCGGGCGTACAGACCGATGCCAGAACCTCGAGGGCAAGTTTCGTGGGGGAAAAAAAAAAAAAAAAAAAAAAAAACCGTTTGGGCTCACGCTGGCACGTCTGCACAGCTCTCCAGTGGCGCTCGGGCGGGTGCCAGGGGGTCCCTCGAGGCTTGGGGGGCGAGGCGCGGGGGGGGGGCCGTCGCACCTTTTTGAGTTGATGTCACTACTTCCCACTTGCAAAGCACAATGCGCAAGGAAACGGCTCAACAATAAATGCATGTTGGCCTCACTGCGTCGGAGGCCCACCATTGCGTGGCAAACAACTGAATCAACAGAAAAAAACAACACATTCCCGACACGCACACACACACACAAACCGTTGCAAGCGCTCGCTTCGGCGGATGCAGGGCTGCATCAGGGCTGCAGGAAGCAGAGACACTTCACGATTGGCCATGGCATGTGTCGTCATACTCCGCGTGCAGACCGTAGCCGTGGGCCACTACGATCACCAGACATGATGTGTTGGTCAATATGTTTCGAGTTCGTGGTATCCCCGCATTCGTTGCATGAGGCACACTTGTGTTGCAACCCACTCCTGAAACTAATGGGCACAGGGGACATCCAAGGTGAGCGTGGGCTGGGAGCACTTCGGCAAATCGCGCGCCCAGCGTGTGAAAGAGGTGTCCCGAGCAGCGCTGAATTTCTTATTATTCTACGTCCTGGTTTGGTACTTGGTGCTGCACCCAGCTTTGGTATACGTGAGGGACTACAGCACAAAGGTCCACGACAACCCCGGCGGCATCGTCTCGAAATTTTTCGGGATTGTGGTTGGCACGTCGAACTGGCTGATTTGCATGTGCATCGCCACTAGAGGCACAGGCGCTGGTTTTCTGTGGAAGGACCGCGAGGAGGTTTTCGTTTATGGATGAGGCTAGCGCCACATCCGCCCAATGCTTTGTGTGGTTGCCACTGCGGCTGGCCCCACGTATGAAGGAAGCAGAGGAGGAGCAGGGAAAGACAATAGGTGGACGGGGAAGAGGAGGAAGAGGAGCAGAAAGAGGAGGAGGGCGAGGGGGGAGGGGAGATGACGAGGACAAGGTGGAGAAGGAGGAGGCGGGTAGGGGGGAGAAAGAGAGAGAGGGAGAGAGAGAGAGAGAGAGAGAAATAATAGCAAACAACCAAGCACGAACATGTTTATATATGTATGTATGCATATATACAGACCGGAAGAGAGAGAAAGAGAGAGAGAGAGATGGATAAAGAGAGAGAGAGAGAGAGCGATACAACAGTGAGAGAGAGGGAGGATAAGGAGAGAGAGAGAGATATATAGAGAGAGGAGGAGGAGGAGGAGGGGACAGAGAGGAGCAAAACAACTAACAGACAAAGGGAGCGTGTGAGAGAGAATGGGGGAGAGAGAGATTGCGAGAAACAGCAAACAACAACAACAACAACAACAACAACAACAACAACAGAAACAGCAACAGCAACAGCAACGTCAACAACAAACACGCGAGAGAGAGAGAGAGTGAGGATGGGGAGAAGAAGGAAGCGAAACGTATGGGGAAGGGGCGGTGGCCTGGAAGCTCTTTCGGGGACATGTTGGGGCCGTCTTGGGACTGCCGTGGGGTGCGTTAGGTTTTCGGGGAGCTCTCTTCGGCCGTCATAGCGTCATCTGGGGGTTGTCTGGGGCTGTATCCGTGGCACTTCCGATCGGACCAAGCCCTCCTAGAGGCCCTCTCTGGCTATCTTCGCGCCATCTCGGGCAGTGCTGGAAGATGTGTGGGATCAGTATTTGACCGTCCTGGAGTCTTCCGGGCATCTTGGGGCAACGTGTCGCAACACATTTGGGGAATTAAGATGGCTCTTACCGAGGTGCCCCACATATTTCAATCAAATTTGTCGTTGGCGCATTACTTAAATCTCTTATGTGTGCATGCATCATGTGCGCAATCGCCTGGTCCCTTCACATTGCCACATTGCTGTTCCTCTTGTTATCAAGGGCAGCTTTGCCTGAGCCGCCACCCGCCACTCCATCTAATATTTCCGGCGGGGCAAGATGCGAAGTGGTCACTGAGGGTCGCTCCTTGGAGCAACAATTAGCAAGTAGGTAAAGCAAAGCATTGCAACATTCTGACAAACAGAGGGTCAACTTCGAAACCGTGTGCAAATCAAACCCCCAGTGCCGCGATAGCTTCGGCACCCGTGGGAGTACTTGTCAGAGCATCATCCTCTACGCAGAAGACCAGCATCTCGCCCAGCTTCTAAGTCCCCGTGCGGGATCGAGTCTGTTGTTCTCTCCACCCCCTCCTGCTGGTTTCTCCCTCGCCCCCCCCCTCCTTCCCAGCCCCCCTTGAGGTCGGCCATTTTTTTCTCGCATGTTCCACGTCTCTCCCTTCGCCCCTTCAACGGAACGTCTCTGAGCTGCCCGCGCAAGGCTAATGGCAGGCAAACGCAGCCCGTCGGAACAAAGCCTGCCAGGCATGGGCCACGTTCGAAGCAAGGTACGGAGGCATGCGGCACGTTGCCGACACAGAGCTTCCTAGCTGCATGCGCATCGCATGGCGCGAAGGCCAAGCAAAGCCTGTCGACGGACAGTCTCCGCAAGCACGTCCATGACCTCCGACCACTTCGACGGAAGATCTCCGGGCCCATCAGAAGCGCGCGCGGGCCCGTGCATTCCAGCGACCTCACGCCGCCAGCAAGGGCCATTGGCGTTTCAGGAAGAAGTCCGCGATCTCTGGCGCCCTGTTCGCCCTCCCCTCGTCGAATCTCGTGGGGGCCTTCGGCACGGACGAAGGCAGGCCTTTCTGCAAGACCACCCTTGGCGGCGGCCGAAGCAAAAACAGATCATACATGCAATTGGTTCTGCTGAGCACCACGTACAGAAGCAGCCACCGGTCCTCCGCTCTGTCGTCCGGTCTGCCAGTGTTTTTTTGTCCTGCGCGCATTCGATGGTCACCCTGGTGCGGAACGTCTGGCTCTGTAAGCAGTGGGCGTAAGGAAGCGCCCGTGCGTGAGCGCATATCCCAGCCTGCGGATCCTGTGTTGCGTGTCGGTGTCGCGCCATTTGGAGTTCGCCCCTATCGGCGGGACGCAGAACAGGCCGTTCGCTTTTTGTTCCGGGATTCCGACGAGTTTGATGAGGGCACTGACCACGGCCAGGCTCTGCTTGTGGGAATCGCCCACCTGCATCCAGGTACTGGCAGGCAGAAAGCGTGGCCGGATGACCTCTCCCAGAACGCACGCGTCGTGCTTGTCCTCGTCCCCCCTGTGGGACACGAAGCTCACGATCGTCGCCTTCCGCTCGTGGGCCGAGCCTTTGCGGCTGGACACCCCGCATGCGCCCGTGTCGCCGGGGCGCGGCACGTCCGGCAGCCGTGGCCCCGCGTGCCACGCCCCGCGGCCTTGAGACGGATGGAGACCGCGGTGAGGGACCACACTCTGCGACCCCCCGCGGCGTGGAGAGCGTGCAACGGCCGCCAGGTCCCGCGACCTTGGGGCCAACGAAGAGCCGCGGGGAGACACCACCCTGTGCGCACACATTGTGGCGTGGAGGCAGCGCCACGCCTGCCACGCCCCAAGACCTTCTGACGGATAGGGACCGCGGTGAGGGACCACCCCGTGCGCACCCCTTGTTGTGTGGAGAAAGTACTACATGCGTCACGCCCTGCCGCCGTGAGACAAATAGAGACCGCTGTGAGAGACCACCCTTCTGCGCCCCCCAGTGGTGTGGACGAAAGCGCCACGCCTGCCACGCCCCGCGACCCTGAGACGTAAGAGTAGAGACCGCGGTGAGAGACCACACCCTGCACCCCCCGGGGGTGTGGAGAAAGTGCTACCTATGCCACGCCCCGCGACACTGAGACGAATAGAGAACGCGGTGAGAGACCACCCCCTGCGCACCCATTGTGGCGCGGACAAAAATGCGGCGCCTGCCACGCCCCGCGACCTTGAGGCGAATGGAGACCGTGGTGAGAGACCACCCCTGCGCACCCCTTGTGGCGTGGAGAAAGTGCGACGTTTTCCACGCCCCGCGACAGTGAGACGATTAGAGACCGCTGTGAGAGGCCACCCTCTGCGCACCCCGTGTGGTGTGGAGAATATTGCACGCCTGCCACGCCCCGCAACCGTGAGGTGGATGAAGGCCGCGATGAGGTACCACCCTTTGCGCACCCTGTGTGGTGTGGAGAAACTGCAACGCTTGCCACGCCCTGCGACCCTGAGACGGATAGGGACCGCGGTGAGGGACCACCCCGTTCGCACCTGTTGTGGTGTGGAGAACGTGTCACGCCTGCCAAACCCCGCGGCATTGAGGCGGATAAAGGAGGCGGTAAGGGACCGCCCCTTGCGCACCCCTTGTGGTGTGGAGAGCGCCACGCCTGCCACACCCTACGAATCATATGCGTGTGTGTTGTGTGGTGCGCATGTCACGTGAGCGTGTGCGTGTTTCGTATATGTGTGTGTGGTGCGTGGGCGTCTGTAGTTGGACGTGTGTGTCATGTAGGTGCCGTGTACTGTGTTGCATGAGTATGGTGCGTGCGTGTATGTCTGCTGTTTGTGCACGCCCGCGCGTGTGTGCAGGAGCGAGAAAGAGGAGGGGCGTGCGACGCGGGCGTGGGGATGTGTGCGCAGATGAGAAGGAGAAGGGGGGTGAGAGGAGACGCAGATGCGACGCGGGTGGAAAGAAAGCCAGACACCCATTTAGCATGTGTGGGACCGAATCTGCGGGTGGTTGTTCTAAGATTTGGAGTGTGTAGGAGCCTCCTCGAGGCCTCTCTCAGACCATATGCGGGCCGATTGGATCGTCTGAACGAACATTCCGTGGCCCTCCAGGGCCAGCTGCGCGGAATCTTGAAGTTGCGATGGCCCGTCTTGAGATGTCTAGGGCTCTGGTGCATTCCCGAAGAAGTTCGGCGCCCCCGAATTGGGGTTGGCTGTGGGAAGGGTCCAAGGGGGCCGACAGGAGACATTGGCTCGTGGGGGAATACCGACCCTCGATCGCGCGTTCATCACCGATCGCGGACTTGAGTTGTCCCACCGTTAACAGGGATGTGCGATTTCGTTGTTCAGGGCATGTCGCCATTCACATGTCCATGTATGGTTGATTCCAGGACGATGTTTCCCCGCCTGAACCAGTCCCCCCCCTTCTGGCTTATCTCAGGGGCATATTATGTCCCACGCCAGTGCCCAAGGGGTTGGCGAATTGCTGTTTCATTTTCATGTGCGTCGCTAACACACTGATGAGTCTTTGGTACACCGTCGTGAGCGTGTACATGGCCGAGGTGCACGCAACGACCGTTGACTGGGAAACACGTGTCGCGAGCGACATCGCCTCTATGCTCTTCCCTGGCAGTTTCATCCCCTGCCTGCTGTGGCCTCTACAGGGTTTCCTTTGGCCTTTCCTGGAGGCGTTCCTGGACCTGCGCTTCCGGAACGCCGACGACCTCACCGTGCGCGTGGCAGAACGCCGGTTGGAGCCGCTTCCAGTGGGGTTGGCATGGGATTATCAGGGCAGCCTGACGTGTCCCGTGCTCGGGTTCCTGACCATCTTTTTTGCGTCCAACGGGCTCAGGTGGTCCCTGTTGTTCCTGGCGCTCTGGACGCTCTTTTTCTATTGCGTGCAGCACTTCAACCACCTGCGCATGGCCAAGACGGCGTACACCACGTCGAACCGCCTGGATACCGCGGTGCCCTCTCCCTCCTCTCGGGTCGGACGTGAGGGGGGAGGGGGGGCAGGAAGGGGGGGGGGGGGGGGGGGGGGGGGCAAAACAGCTCGCGTAGCTGATTTCGCGGCGCCTCCCGTCGGCGGGAGGCGCCACTGCATCGAGGAGAGGCGCCCGTTGGCGGGGCCGAAGCCAGCTGCACGCGGCAGAATCCGTACCCCGCCCCTCCCTTTTCCCCCCCCTATTTGTCCGACCCTAACCCTACATCTCCTCCTCCTCCTCCTCCTCCTCCTTCTGCGCTCCTCTTCCTTACAGATGACTCCTCCCTGTCGCATCCCGAGGCCGGTCGAAAGGACGGGCCAGGCGTTTCGTTTGAGATTTCCTATGACTCATGACCCCGAGGCTCAAACAATGCCAGCAGTTTCACCGATGGAGGGCCTTGCCCTTCCAAAATGTGACTTTCGCCTCAGCGCCGCGCACCTTCGTCGCAACAGTTCGTAAGTGCTTCACGGATTGAGGGCGGGTGGTTTTCAAAATGCGGTTCTCGCCTCAGCGCCGCGCACATTCGGTCTTAAAGTTTGCAAGAGTTTCACGGATTGAGGGCGGGTCGTTTTCAAAATGTAGTTATCGTTTTTGCGCCGCGCATGTTCGTCGTAGAACTCTGCGAGAGTTTCACGGGTTGAGCGCGGGAGGTTTTCAAAATGAGGTTATCGTTTTAGCGCCGTGCATTATTTCAAAATGCTCAGGAGCTTCACGGATTGAGGGCAGCTGGTTTTCAAAAGGTGGTTCTCGCTACAGCACCGCGCACATCCGTTTCGACATGTTGAAAGAGCTTCACGGGTTTAGGGAGAGTCGCTTCCAAAATATGAGTCTCGCTTTCTCGCCGCGCACTTTCGCTTTAAATACTTGCAAGAGCTTCGCGGATTGAGAACGGATGGTTTTCAAAATGTGGCACTCATTCGCCTTAGCGCCGCGCACACTCGTTTTCAACAGTTGCAAGAGTTTCACTGCTTTGAATGGCCAGCGTACCACACAAGGTGTGTTTGGAACGTTTGAGGATTGGGATTGTCAGGACGCAACAGTTACGTTGATTCGCTGCGCTGAAGTACCATGAATGGCGTTTTGGCACGATTCAGGAATGCCAAGACGCAACAGTCATGTTAATTCGTTGAAGTTCTGAGAATTTCAAAATGGCGCTCTGGCACGCTGCAAGATGTTCACAAATGTGTGTCCCAACGGGGCACTTCCCTCAGTGGCAATAGTGGCAATGACCCCTCGTAGGGGCCTGTGAAGAGGGGTCTTGGAGGGGGATGTTTTTCAATATCGTTGATTAGTCTTGGGTTTACACTGGTCCTCCTCCTCCTCGCAGCCTCCCCCTCCCTTTCAGTCCTCCTCCTTCCCCCCTCCTTCCAGGTGCTCTGGAGCTGGGGCCTTGTCCTCGGGGAGATCCTGGCTGGGGCCGCCTTCTGGGGCTCCCAGGTGCGGGGCTGGCCCCGGAGCGCAGTCCCCGCTGCCCTCGTGGCCGGGACGGCGCTCCTCTGGTTGATCCTCGGCTGGGGCGTGAGGCCGACGATGGCCAGCCTCGATCGTATCCCTATCCCGAAGATTGAGAAGCCCGAGTGCGAGCACAGTCTCAGGGATGTGCCCGCAGAAACCGAGGGGATGCTTGAAATCGGCATTGAGATCAGGCGATGCCAATCATAGGTTTAGGAATATGTTCCAGGCTGGTAGAGGAAGAAATGAAATAAGAAATAGCGGCACAAACATAAACTTTTGGAGCTCCCCGCGGATGTCTTGGATCGGCGATGGACACCTCTCCCTGGAGCGCGGAGCGCGCCAGGAGCGGCGCCGGAGCCGCCGCCAGGGGGCCCAGCGCCGATCCAAGAAATCCGCTCGAAGCTCCGAAAGTCGATGTTGATGTCATCCTGTCCTCCCTTCAGGAGAACCCAGGTCCATGTGCTTCCAAATCCTGGCGTGTGTCCTCGATCTCGGCTTCCGGGGGCCGTTATCGGACCCTGGGGCCATGACAAACGGAGCCAGGGCGAAAAATTAACCCCGGGGCCCTGAAGAAGGAACCCTTTTCGTTGGGAGGGGCTCCGCGTTCCTTGAGTGTTTCGCAGCTTGCCTCAGATGTTCCTTATGTTTTCGATCGGAAATCGAAGTTTAACTCATGGAAAAAAGGGGCCTCGTTCCTTATTTTGGGCTCCTTAGGTCAAGCTCCCGACTGTAACCCTGGGGCAGGGCTCGGGACCTCTGTGGCCGCGCCCTGAAGAGTTCGTACCGGCGGATGTCAGGGATGGTGCCGGCACCGCTACCCTTCCCTCGTCTCCACTCGGGGACCATCATAAAAATGACGAGACCCAATCTGAAATTTGACGCGGGCTCCCGCTGCAGACATCCCACGAAAACGGGACCGTCAAAATCCAGGACGCGCTCGTCAAAAAAAAGTCGGCAAACCCGAGTTCCGGCTTACTCGAGTCTTACGTTTCCCCGATCCACGGCTGCACTCGCCTCGAGATCCTGGTCAGAGCGCATCCCGGCAGAGGCCCAGGGAACAGCGGTGTCGGCATCTGTCTGTTCCCCCAGAGGCCGACCATATGGACCGGGAATATGATCTTCGGCAGCGAGGACAGGGACAGCCCGACGCTCCAGGACCCGAGAGCCAAAATACAGCGCCAGCGGCGGGCCCAGCGCCGACCCAAGAAATCTGCCTGGGCTTCCAGGAAGCTGTTTTTGAAAGCGGTGTTGTTTGCTCTTCCAAGGACACTCGGGAGCGCACGCTGTTCGACTGGGCGAATTGCAACCCCGGCCTCGTTCTGAAGAGCCAGATCGTGGATCTCCGCGACGCTGGCATTCCCAGGCTCCTGCCCTTCGCCGTCGGCAAGTCTCACGCGTGGAAGGCACAAGATAGATCGCGAGAAGCTGGCGGCACACCTTTTCCCGAGTGTTCGAGGTTGTGGTATGAACCAGGTGAGTTGTATAGACGGTTGGGCATTATTGCGTGAGCTCTAGGCCGGGAGGCACATTGCGTATTCCCACGCGTTGCCGTCTTCCCGCGCGACCGTTGTAGTGAATATTCGTCGTTCAGTGGCTTCGGTATGCAGCCAACGACTTGAGCGATCGCGTGAGCTTCCACGCTGCGGTGCTAGCTTGAAATGCGGGCGTGCTGCAACGAGGGGTGGGGCGCTCTGAGGCAATACCCCACTGGACAGAAAGTAAAACATGGCCACGAGCTAATTAGAGCAACTACATGTTGCCAAGATAGCGAGTCCCAATTCCAACGAGTACTTGTGCGAGCTCGTTGGCTGCCCGTGTTCGGGCTCGTTCGGACCCGTACAGGTCGATCCGCACGCCAAGAGTGCTCTTCCCAACGGCCAGCGCTCCCCTTTCTGCAGCCAGCGCATCCTCGTTTTTCCTGTGCGCCCTCGTTCTCACACTCCTCCTCTGCAGACTTCGATCTCGATCTGCGCCTCTCCTGGTCCTCTCTCCATCCCCTCCCCAAGCCTGGGCGGCGCGCCCGCCAGGGGGGGAAGGCAGAGGGAGCCAGCCTTCCCAGAGGGCGGCTGGGCTTGTCAGAAGTGCTCACGGGTTCGGAGAAGACGCCTTCTAAGCCCTCTCCAGAGGCACGCACGGGTTCTCGGTAGGCGCGAGGGCCTTTGAGAAGCCCCACCGCCTTCCGAGAAGGCCGGCCCCTTCTTCCCTCCCCCCGGACGCGCCGCCGAGGATCGGTGCTCGCATTCTGCCCCGTGCTGCGGAGTTGGCTGTGGGCGGTCGGCCTCCAGATTGCGCTCGTGAGCGCCAGGCCTCCTCACTGGCCCTGTCTTGCGGGGCCGGTCGGTGGTGCTCGGCCTCCCGTGGCTTCCTTCGGCTCGGCCTCGCACGTCCACATGACGCGTTCCAGAAAGGGCTTCGCTTTCGAGGGATCGACGGAGTTGGCACGTTTTCCTAAGCTTAGTCGGACGTGTCCCTCTACAGGAGTGATATTCAAAAACATTCAAAAAGTAGTCTGGGGACGATTCCTGACTATGTTTAACCATATTTGGGTATGTTTTGACTTATTTTGATCTTTCGCCCAAAATCCGCCTGTAGGGGGACATGCCCGACCGACCCAATCCTAGGCGGCAGGTTGGCGGAAGCAAGACGAGGCTGCCTCCGCCGGCGAAGGGTGGCGGAGGCCGGCGGCAGTACAAGATGCGCCCCCATACGATTGCAGCATCTGTGGCCTCAGGGTTTCCGGAACGGCCCAAGTGGTGTCCCGCTTCACGTGTCTTGTATTGTGGGGTCGGTCGTTGGCACATGGCCTCCTATGGCCCACTGTGGCTCTGTCGCATTTGTCTTCCATACCGTTTCCCACTGCTCTAAGGACTTAATCCTGTTTCCCGCACGTTTCCCCGTGGGTGCTTGGACCGCTATGGCTTTGGCTGCTCGGACCGCTATGGTTTGTGTGTTGCCCTCGCGCGTGAGCGAATTGACCATTATGGCCTGTCCGCACAGGATCCGCACATTGAGGTCCGAACATGTGAAGTTCCGCGAATAGCGTTCTACACGTAGCGGCTCACACAGAGTGGATTTCACCAGTAGGTTCTCTTCGTATGGTTCCCCACGTAAGGTCCTCCACAAGGTCTCATCGCGCAATGCTGCGCCAGTCAATGTTATTTGGAGTCCACGCGTTGGCGTTACCACGCACCTTTGCCCAACCCGACAGCATGATGCGTGATGAAGGCAGCCATTAAAGATCCCGACAAGACTCAAGTCAGGGTACACTGGCTAGACAGAGCTGTCAGAGGCTGGGGGGTGGGAACGAACCGACCTCAACCATAAAATATGTTTCTGGTTCGGTTCGTGTCCCGCGTGCGGGTGGGGCGACGTTGCTCGAGGGCGACGATGTGTTGGCGTAGCTAGGGCCAGGTCTGAGAAACGTGTTCCATGCGGTTCCTCGCCGTGGTTGTCCCAGGGTTGTGCTGTGGCTATTCCAGGAGTGTCCCGCGGCTGTCCCGTGGTATGTCCCGCGAGTGTCCAGTGAATCGCCTTGAGATTGTCCCTTGGGCTGTCCCGCAGGTTGTCCCATGGGTTGCCGCGCAAGTAGCCCCGTAATTGTCGGGTCAGTTGCCCCGTGGCATTGAAGGATAATTACAAGCAGCCCGCAAGTCGAAATGCAAATCATAGCCCAAGCCGAAAATCAGTTCAAAATGTAGAGTATAGGTTAGCCAGCATGGACCCCAAGCAGTGACATTTTAGCAACAGACAGTGTGCAACCGATGTGGACCATATATATATATATAGAAATATACATATAGATTCATACATACATACATACATACAGACAGACAGGCAGGCAGACAGACAGACAGACATACATACAGACAGACAGACAGACAGACAGACCAAAAGACAGACATGTATATGATACCGGGGAAAAGCCCAATCATATTTGTGTTGGGGCTATAGGGCTATGGGGCTATAGGGCTAGATGGGCTATATGACTATAGGGGTATAGTGCTATAGGGCTATTGGGCTATAGGGGCTAGAGGACTATAGGGTTATTGGGCTATTGGGGTATAGGGCTATAAAGCTATAGGGCTATCGGGCTCTAGAACTATAGGGCTATAGGGCCATAGAGCTATAGGGTTATAGGGCTATTTGGCTATTGGGCTATAAGGCTATAAAGGCTATATGGGCTATATGGGCTATTGGGCTATTGGGCTATAGAGCTATAAGGCTATGAGGCTATATGGATATAGGGTACCCGGGCACCCCCGGGCACCTCCGGGCACCCCCGAGCACCCCGGCACCTGGCTACCGGCCATCGAAATCCGGGTGCCCGGCCACCGGCCACCAAATCGGCGCCCCACCTCACCTAACCATATGAATCCGCTAGGACCCTTACAGCGGCAAGCTCTGATTGGGGAATGGTGCAATACGCGTGGTTGAACCTATGTAGTGCAATCCACTCTGCTGAACTTGAAGTCGTCATCTCCACTGCTCGCGCAAACGTCCCACCCACCCACCCGCAACTTGGTTTGCAAAACCTCTTGAGACCGACTACGACGACACCGACGACAACGACTACGACGAGAAAGAGGACGTCTCCCACGACTTCGACGACGACAACGACGCCGACGCCGACGACGACGAAGACGACGACGACGACGCCAACGAAGACGACGACGACGGAGGAGGGAGGACGACGACGGCGACAACGACGGCAACGACGACAACGACGAGGGAGGACGGAGGCCGGCGACGACGCGAACGACGAAAGGAGGAAGGACGGCGATGCCGACGACGACAACGACGAGGGAGGAGGGAAGACGACGGCGACAACGACGACGACGACGACGACGGCGACGAAATAGGAGGGACGACGACGAGACGCCGACGACGGACGACGACGACGACGAGGGAGGAGGAGGAAGGACGACCACGGCGACAACGACGACGGAAACGACCACGACGCCACAGAGGACGACGACGACGAACACGAGGAAAGACAGAGGACGACGTAGGCGACGACGACGACGCGGGAGGAGGGAGGACGGCGACGACGACGTTGACGACGACGACGCAAGAGCGCGCGCGCACGCTTTTGTTGAAAATCCGTGTTGCGAAACCTTGGGTTTTTGTAGGTTTTTTGGACACACGATTTTGACATCCTTCCGAAACCGATGGGTTTTGAAGGTTTTCGGCATTCGCGCGCGACGACGCGCGCATATGCACTTCGCTTCATTTTTTGCAGACGATTCTCGCGACGGCACATGCGCAAGGGCGTTCGACAGGTTTCGACATGCGCGCGCGCGAAGCCCGTTTGGTAGCATTTTGTGAAAAATTATCCCAGAGCGACCCTACCTAGGAGTTGGAGCCCCTAGGAAAGCAGCATTAGTAGTAACAGTAAAGCTAAGCTAAAGCTAAGCTAAACCTAAGCTAAAGCTAAGCTGAAGCTAAGCTGAAGCTAAGCCAAAGCTAAGCTAAAGCTAAGCTAAGGCTAAGCTAAAGATAAGCTAACACTAAGCTGAAGCTAAGCTAAAGCTAAGCTAAAGCTAAGCTAAAGCTAAGCTAAAGCTAAGCTAAAGCTAAGCTAACAGTAAGCCAAAGCTAAGCTGAAGCTAAGCTAAAGCTAAGTTAAAGCTAAGCTAAAGCTAAGCTGAAGCTAAGCTAAAGCTAAGCTAAAGCTAAGCTAAAGCTAAGCTAAAGCTAGGCTAACACTAAGCTGAAGCTAAGCTAAAGCTAAGCTAAAGCTAAGCTAACACTAAGCTAAAGCTAAGCTAAAGCTAAGCTAAAGCTAAAGCTAAAGCTAAAGCTAAGCTAAAGCTAAAGCTAAGGCTAAAGCTCCCAGGGGACTGGGGGAACCGCGGGGCGGGGACTGGGGGAACCGCCCGGGGCGGTTTCCATTGCCCGGCCCTTTAAGCTAAGAAAGTAAGAACCCTTCTAGGCAGAGCCTAGGTAGGGAACTTGAACAACCTTTGGTTTTCTTAAGATTTCGCAAGAGCTCGCGCGGAAGCTTTTTTAGCAAATCAGTGTTGCGAAACCATGTGTTTTTGTATGTTTTTCAGAAATTCGATTGCGAAATCCTTCCGGCACCGAAGGTTTTTGAAGGATTTCGGCGTGCGCGCGCGACGACGCGCGCGTGCGCACTTCGTCCCATTTGTTGCAGGGGATTCGTGAAAAAAGTGACATGTTAGAACACAAAATGACACCGCATAGTGTTTTTTACAGGGGGACCTCAGGGGGGGATACCGGCCCCCCTGGGATAGTGCAAATTCATATTTAGGATGGACATGTGGTCAGAACCATATATGATTACATACCCGAAAGGGGGGGATTGATAACGCCGGGGGGGGGTAGATCCTATTGCGTGTATTTGTGAGTGTGTTTGTGTGTTTTGTGTGTGTTTGTGTGTTTTGTCTGTGTGTTCGTACTCTGCGTGTCTGTCGGGTTCATCCGTGAGTGTGTGCGCGCCTGGCTGTGCGTGTGATCTCGTTTAGCATGGTCTTCAGTTGTTCCTCTTTCCGCGTTTGGCGCCAGTCAATGTACTACAATCATTTGTCTGGTCGTTTTCGCCATGGTAAATTCGGTATGTCGTGGTGAGTGCTCCTTGCGGCTAGCAAGTTGCTTGCTGGACCCCGCGACGAGAAGTCTGCCCGTAGCGTTCAGAAACAAATCTGCGCGTGCGTGTGTGTGTGCGCGTGTAAGCGTGAAAGCGTGTACGTGTGTCAGTGCGTACATAAGTGTGTGTGTGTGCGTGCGTGTAGGAGGTGGTTGCGTGGGTGAGTGCGCGCGTGCGTGCAAGCGTGGGTGGGTTGGTGTGTGGGTATGTGGGTGTGTGGATGTATGGGTGTGTGTGGGTGTGTGTGGGTGCGTGTGTGTGTGTGTGTGTGGGTGTGTGAGTGCGTCTGTGTGTGTTGTGTGTATTGTGTGCCCGTTGCGTGTGTTATATGCGTGATTGCGTGAGTGCGTGAGTGCGTGATTGCGTGAGTGCGTGAGTGCGTGAGTGCGTGAGTGAGTGCGTGAGTGCGTGAGTGCGTGAGTGAGCGCGTGTGCGTGAGTGTGCGCGCACGCGTGTGCGTGCATGCGCCCGTGTGCGGGTGCGGGTGCGTGTGCGTGGGCGTGTGTGCGTGCGCGTGCGCGTTCGCGTGCGTGTGCGTGTGCGTCGCATGTGCGTGCGCTTGTGCGTGTGCGCGTGCGTGTGCGAGTGCGTGTGCGTGTGCGTGTGCGAGTGCGTGTGCGTGTGCGTGTGTGTGTGTGTGTGCGAATGTGTGTGTGAATCTGTGTGTGATTGTGTGCGAATGTGTGTGTGTGTGTGGATGTGTGTGTGTGTTGTGTGTGTTGTGTGTGTGTGTTGTGTGTGTTGTGTGTGTGTTGTGTGTGTTGTGTGTGTTGTGTGTGTTGTGTGTGTTGTGGGTTGTG